GGCTGATTGGTGCTCTCTGAGCTATTGTTTTCTTCAAGACATTTCATTACCTAACTAGGTAACAACATCAGTGCTAGAGGGGAGTGGGGTTTATGGAGAGGAGCGGGGGAGGACTGTGGGGTCCTTGGTGCTCTCTGAGCATGCTTGTTTTCTTGCAGATGTCTCAGGACCCAACTAGGTAACATCATCAGTCCTAGAAGGGAGTAGTGGGGTTTTAAAGAAGAGATTGGACAGCCATTTCCTGCTTGGGCAGAGGGCTGGACTAGAAGACCTCCGAGATCCCTCCCTGTTATTCTATTCTTCCGTTCATGGGTCTGGGGACCGGGGGTTGGGCTGGGATGCATGTGGGAAAGCCGTGGCCTCTTTCTAACTCGGGACTCTCTCCTGTCTGGGGCCTTCTTAGGAGTTGCCGCTGATCCTTCACCGACTCCTTCAGCCAGCCTGACTGTCGCCATCGTTTCCACTCCCCACGTAACATCGCACCCCGTGACCACTTCGGGTCTCACTTCAGCACTGGGGGGGCCAACTAGCAAACCTTCAGCCTTGCCAACCTCCGCCACTTCTCCAGTTGCGGTGGTACCATCCAAGGCACCCACCACGGGGGCTACAGTCAAAACCACCACCTCTCCTTTGCCCACGAAGCCTGGAAACACTACCACCCCCGTCGCTGTCGTCGCTGCAAACACAACGGCCTCACGGACGCCACCGTCGACTCCGGCATTGCCTACCATCCATCCCACTTCTTCGCGAGAGGTTGCTAAGAAAGACTTCGCCTCCACCAGCGGGCTGACAACGGTGACCCTTTCTCCCTCCCGGCCTTCCTCCACAAGGCCGGTTGGATCCGGATCCACAGGTACGTTGCCAGTCTCTGGATTATAATTCCCCTAATCCAAGGGTCTTGAAATTCGACAACTTAAAAGTCTTGTAGACTTCAACTCCCAGAATTCCCCAGCCAGCCATGGCAGCAACTTTAAGACTTGTGGACTTCAACTCCCAGAATTCCCCAGCCAGCCAGGGCAGCAACTTTAAGACTTGTGGACTTCAACTCCCAGAATTCCCCAGCCAGCCATGGCAGCAACTTTAAGATTTCTGGACTTCAACTCTCAGAATTCCCCAGCCAGCCATGTCAGCACTTTAAGACTTGTGGACTTCAACTCCCAGAATTCCCCAGCCAGCCATGGCAGCAACTTTAAGACTTGTAAACTTCAACTCCCAGAATTCCCCAGCCAGCCATGGCAGCAACTTTAAGATTTCTGGACTTCAACTCCCAGAATTCCCCAGCCAGCCATGGCAGCAACTTTAAGACTTGTGGACTTCAACTCCTAAAGTTCCCCCAGCCAGCACGAGGAATTCTGGGAGTTGAAGTCCGCAAGTCTTAAAGTTGCTGCCATGGCTGGCTGAGAAATTTAAATAAAATGCCCAGATGTGCTTTAAGACTCTCTTTTACAACATGGTCAAAAGAATCACAATGGCTTCTCCACCTCCTTAGATCCTTCCCAAGATAACCCCTGATGGGCAGCCCCATCAGGGAGTCGGAAAGAATTCCGCAAGCGGAGTTACGCAGGTTGGGTTTAGGACAACACGCAGTGGCCAACTCACCATGGGAAAACTCACCGTGGACAATTCCCCCTGTGGGATAACTCAAGAAGATAAATTTTATCCGCCGCTGTTTTGGGGGATATTATTTTCATGGACAAAAATGGAAATAATATTGAGGAAAAGAGGAGCAGGTAACATTTGTCGCATCGAGTTATTCTGCATGGGATTGTCCGTGGCCGGGTGACCAATGGCGGTTTGGCCACGGCGAAAGGCCCATGATGATTTTGGCTGTGGCAAACTGCCCCATTCTGACATCAAATTATTGCCATAAGGTAAAGGCACATCCATGCTAGCCGGTTTCTGGCTCTAGGGGACGGTGCTCATCTCCGTTACAAAGCCGAAGAGCCGGCGCTGTCCGAAGACGTCTCCATGGTCATGTGGACGGCATGACTAAATGCCAAAGGTGCATGGAACGCTGTGACCTTCCCACCAAAGGGGTCCCTATTTTTCTACTTGCATTTTTTACATGCTTTTGAACTGCTAGGTTGGAAGAAGCTGGGACGAGGAACGGGAGCTCACTCCGTGACGTGGCGCTGGGGATTCGAACTGCTGAACTGCCGACCTTTCTGATCGACAAGCTCTTAGCCACTGAGCCACCGCGTCCCTGTGTTGTTATTATTGCCATGTTTAAATAGAAGCACGTCTTTGTCCACACACAGGGGCAACAAATCATTTAGTGACTGTTCAAAGTTACATCACAAAAAGTGGCCCATTTTCACACTTAGGACCATTGTAGCATCCCCCTAGTCACCTGATCAAAATTCTAACCCCGGTCAACTGGCTCGTACTTATGACCTTTTCAGTGTCCCAAGGTCACGTGATCCCCGTTTTGAGACCTTCCAACTAGCAAAGTCAAAAGGGAAAAATCCCGATTCACTTAACATAACCGTGCTACCAACTTAACATCTGTGGCGATTTACTTAACAACGGTGGCAAGAAAGATCGTAAAATGGGACAACATTCACTTAATAAATGTCCCACTCAGCAACATTTGACTGCACGACTCAAAAAGAGGACTGGGAAAATATTTACAGACCCCTCACAACCTGGACATAAACTGTTTTAACTCCCACCCTCAAAATGTCTTTTATATACACTGAGAGCATTTGCACCAAAGACAAATTCCTTGTGTGTCCAATCACTTGGCCAATAAAAGAATTCTATTCTATTCTATTCTATTCTATTCTATTCTATTCTATTCTATTCCTGTTGTAATTCTGTTCTATTCTATTTCTGTTGTAATTCTGTTCTGTTCTATTCTGTTCTGTTCTATTTCATTTCTGTTGCTTTTCTATTCTATTCCCTATTGTTCTGTTCTGTTCTGTTCTGTTCTATTCTATTCTATTCTATTCTATTCTATTCTATTCTATTTCTATTCTATTCTATTCTATTCTATTCTATTCTATTCTATTCTATTCTATCCTATCCTATCCTATCCTATTCCTGTTCCATTCCATTCTACTTCTAATTCTAATTCTAATTCTATTTTATATTCTATTCTATAACTTTGGGACACAATTGTGGTTGTAAGTCGAAGTCTACCTCTCCTTGTTTTCTTTTCTCTCAACAGCGAAAAGCCCGGAGCCTCCCCCGATTCCTGCAAAGACTTCGGCCGTGCCTGGGGTTGTCAGCGGCCCTACAATCTTAGCAACTGTCACAACTGCAAAAAATGGGATGAGCAAAGATACATTTTCGTTGTCGCTCACCTCGCCCAAAACCGCGATGCCCAAACTGGCAGGTTCTCCCAGAAGCTCCACGGTTCCTTCCTCAAGTAGCGGCTTTTCGGCTCGCCCCCCGTTGAAGACGATGCCTTTGTCTCCGGGGACCACAGCTCCTCAGGACTCTCCTGTCCCCTCTGCTTCTAGCCAGACGAACCTGAGTTCGGTGCAGGGCCAGACTAAGGTAAGCAGATGGTCCGGGTACCACTTGGTGAGACTTCGAAAAGCCTCCCAAAAAAGGCACCCGAATGTCGGTCGGTTGCTAAACGAGAGCCAGTTTGGTCTAGTGGTGAAGGCTTCAAGCTTGAAACAAATAATAATAATAATAATAATGTTCCCATCTTCCAAGGAGAATATTGGTGAGCCAGCGGTGTATTGCAGCTGCCAAAAAAGCCAATACAGTCCTAAGCTGCATGAACAGGATAGATAGAATCATGATCACGTTTTCTGATTTCTGTACATTTTGGTTCCATGAATAACATTTCTCCTTTTTTCCTATCCTAAAATAAAACAAAACAAAAAAATAGCAATACCTGGTGTTCTTTACTAACCTTGTTATTTTGTCACCATAGGAATATAATGCAGTTTATGTGTGATTGCTCATAAAATCATTGTAATATAACATTAATATTGATTAACCAATTTGAAAGTGTGCTTGGGTATTTTTGAAACAAACTATGAAGTTAGAAATCAGTTATAGTTTATATAGAAGATGCATCAATGTGGTCAATGAAAGGGTTATTTCTATTGTATTTCTATTAAAAATAGTGGCTTTTTTTTTTAAAGAATCAAGATCACATGAAGTGTTAATACCACTTTTTAATGCCTTGGTAAGGCCACACTTGGAACCCTGCATTCAGTTTTGGTCGCCACGATGTAAAAAAGATGTTGAGACTCTAGAAAGAGTGCAGAGAAGAGCAACAGAGATGATTAGGGAACTGGAGGCTAAAACATACAAAGAACAGTTGCAGGAATTGGGTATGTCTAGTCCAATGAAAAGAAGGACCAGGGGAGACATGATAGCAGCGCTCCAATATCTGAGGGGCTGCCCCAAAGAAGAGGGAGTCAAGCTATCCTCCAAAGCCCCTGAGGGCAGGACAAGAAGCAATGGAGGGAAACTAATCAAAGAGAGAAGCAACTTAGAACTAAGGAGAAATTTCCTGACTGTAGAACAATTAACCAGTGGAACAACTTGCCACCAGAAGTTGTGAATGCTCCAACGCTGGAAGTTTTTAAAAAGATGTTGGACAATCATCATTTGTTTGAAGTGGTTTAGGTATCCTGCCTAGGCAGGGGGTTGGACTAGAAGACCTCCAAGGTCCCTTTCCACGTTGTTATTCTATTCTATTCTAAACCAGAGTTTTGCTTTGCTTTTGTTGTGGCCCAGCCGAATACGCAGTCACACCCCTCTGCCTTATTTTTTTCTCCCCAGATTGTTTGCGAGAATAAAATGCCCCCGAAGGAGAAGGCAATAATACTCTCCTTAAATGAATCACGGCCTTGTGTAAGTATCTCCTCAAAGCACTTGGATTATAGCTAATCTTCTATGAAAGCTCCTGGGCCATCTGCACTTATTTTCACCAGCACAACTGAAGTGTGCAGCTGACACCATTTCTCCTATGTCAGCATTATTTTATAAATCAGGTCATGTATGATCCTGAATGTGGTGTAGTTTGTGCAATGGGCATACTATAGGGAGTAAACCCAGAGTGCCTTCTTATGCACCAGGGTTCTTCCTGCCCCCATCTGACTTTTTTTTTTTTTTAAAGAAATGGAAAATATTAAAGTTGGCAGCCTACACCGCGTGTTAGTTTGGGATAATGGTTTGGAGTTTCTTTACAATAGTTCTGTCGAGATTACACTATATAGAAGGAAGATGGTTAAATTGGTTGTTTTATTCAAAAGGGAGAATATATTTTATTATGTTTTTGATTTGGCTATCACTTCCAGATTTGGGGCTTGCGATGAAAACAAATGAAACTTCGACTTTGGATTTGCCAGTTAGATAGATTTGTTGTTATAGAAATAAGTAGTTATATACTTCATGTGTAAAAGTAAAAAGCTTAGGTTGTAATATTGTTATCTTGCACTGGCGCTAAAAAGAGTCAGAAGTCAATGTTTTTTTTTTCTTTCTTCTCTTGTATATATTTTCTTGCCCCCACTCTTTCTCCTTCCCTTCCTCTCCTATTTTTAATTTTTCTTTGTGTTTTATATGTTGAGAAAACAATAAAAGTCGTATTTGAAAAAGAGGTTACACTATATAGATCAAACCAATACAAGTATACCACCAAACTTGAGATTCTAGGCTTAGACAACCTTGAACTACGCCGGCTAAGATTGGACTTAAGCATAGTACATAAAATCATGTTACAATGTCTTACCAGTTAATGAATATTTCAGCTTCAATCTCAACAACACAAGAGCACACAACAGATATAAACTTAATGTAAACCACTCCAGACTTGACTGCAGGAAGTACGATTTCAGCAACAGAGTGGTCAATGTCTGGAACTCACTACCTGACTCTGTTGTCACCTGCTCAAACCCCCACAATCCTTTACCCTCAAACTAACCTCTACGGACCTCACCCCACTCCTAAGAGGTCTGTAAGGGGGAGTACATATGCGCACCATCGTGCCTACCGTCCCTGTCCTGTTGTCCCCAATTATTCGTTCCTATTTCATGTATTTAAACTTATTATAAACTTCTTATTTCTATTATATTGTAAGCATTTGACAAAATAAAATAAATAAAGCAAATAAAGTACATATGATAGGAATACATTAAGGAAAAGAAGAGGAGACCAGAACACGTTAAAAGTGCATGCAAAAATATATATATATGGAAAAAATACACTTTTATTTTAAGAAAATGTCAAATCTTCGGTGCTCAGCCTTCCTTATGGTCCAATTCTCACAGCCACATGTTCCTGCTAGGAATTTGACTTTATGGGTTTTTACCGGCAAGGTGATATCTCTGCTTTTTAATATGCCGTCTTGGTTTGCCATCGCTTTCCTCCTGAGAAGCCGGTTGTTCTGACCCAAGCTTTCTTCAAATTAAGAAAACATACACTGTGTGTAAAAGCAAACCTTTTTTAATGCGACGCTGGGAATTATCTGCATTCCCAGCCAAAACTCATTAAACACAATTGTCTGAGATAACGAGCATGCCTTTCAGGGTTGTAAAAGGCCACCAAGAAACAGACATCCATTTAATTAGCAGATAAACCGACAGAAATTCCAGCAAAGACAAACCAGAGTCCGCAGGGCTGCGATGAGGAATCAGAATCTAATGAATTTCTTTGCGTCCTGCAAAGAGCGCATCCCCGAGGGCTGGCTTTTATCCCTTATGGGAGGAGCAATCACCTCCCAGCCTTACTCCCGAGTCACCCTTGCTGATTCAGCTTCTCTCTCTCCTTCTAGCAGCTCTGCGCACACGCGCCCTGGGAACAGGCTCCCCGGGGTCCTCTGCCTCGCTGCTTCCAGACTCCAAAGGCCCCAAAGGCAGCCCCTCACTCCCAGATGGTCTTGGCCCCATCCCTTCATCGGATGCAAGACCCTCGTCCAAGTCCTCACCAGACTCCCTGACTGATTCCCTTTTGTCCTCACCGTCCAATATCTCTACCGGCTGCGGGCAAACCACAACACTGGTGTCTTTCCATTTCATGGCTGCATTTAGCTCCCCCCAAAATGAAATCTGTCACTGCTTCCATATCTTCCCCTTCCATTTGCCAGGAAGTTAACGGGACCAGATGTCATGATCTTCCTTTTTTTTTTTAATGTTGAGTTTCAAGCCAACTTTTGCCCATGTCTCTTTCAACTATCATCAAGAGGGTCTTTAGTTAGGTATGTCTTATTTGGATATTTTAAACTAGACATTGGGTATGTCTAGTTTAATGAAAAGATGTACTAGGGGGGGCATGATAGCAGTGTTCCAATAATTGAGGGGCTGCCCCAAAGAAGAGAGAGTCAAGCTACTCTCCAAAACACCTGAAGGCAGGACAAGGAGCAACAGATGGAAACTAACCAAAGAGAGAAGCAACTTAGAACTAAGGAGAAATTTCCTGACATTGGGAACAATTAACCAGTGGAACAACTTGCCTCCAGAAGTTGTCAATGCTCTATCATTGGTGGTTTTTAAGAAGAGATTGGATAACTATTTGTCTGAAATGATACAGTCTCTTGTTTGAGCAGGGGGTTGGACTAGAAAGCCTTCAAGGGTCTCTTCCAATGTTGTTATTCTGTTAGTTCCTTTTCATTTTCTGCCATTTCTTCCTATTAACCAGCAACAGTCCAATAAGAAATAATAACGTAACTTTTGCAAACTCCATTTGAATCCTTCCTATTATATTTATACCGTCATTTCTCTTTTCCTTCTCTTCACATAAGCAATTCTTAAGACATGATTGTTGAGTCAGTCAAAAAAAAAAAAAAACCACTGCATTTTATAAAAAACAGCAACCCATTATTTTAACTGTTCTTCTTTCTCCTTATGATCCTTAAATTCCTTTTTAAAAATTCTGTCTCGTTTCTCACGCTCTCTGTGTCTCTTCTTCTCAAAATTCTCGGTATCTTTGTCAAGAATCTTTTCTTATCCCATTGTGGCTTATTTCAGGAAATCTCTTTTGTACTTCCAGTGTTAAAAATAAACTGGCCGCATCAAGTTTTCTGGTTTATTATTTGCACGCCTTTTTTTAAATTATTAAATCCTCATCCAGTGCCATTTGTAAAGTCCTTATTTCCATTCCTTTACTTGGAACTCATTTTTGAAACCACACCCTCCAGTCAATTTCAATTTTTTTTCAGTTGAGGTTGTTTCTGTTCTCTAAGGCTTTCTGACTTTTCTTCAGATAGCATTTAAAACTTCCTCTCCTTTTAAGGTAGCTCTCTGGTGCCCCCTAGTGTCAACCTTCAAAGTCATCTTATCAGTTGATTCCCAGTATAAACAAATATTTTCCCACGAGAAAGGATCTTTTCAATTAACTTCAAAGTCTTACATCAAATCCATCTGAGCCCTTAATCGGTTTAACGCCAATGTTAATCTTCCTTTTGCTGTATATGCCATTGTTGTTACAAATCTTTAAACTTGCATTTAAACTTCTTTTTTTTTAAAAAAAAAAAGGATTAAAAAAAGACTCATCTGGTGATTTGAATAGAACTTCCCCATTTCAAGATTGTCATTTTATAAAAAAAAAACAACGGGGAAATATTAAACCTAAAATGATTAGGAGGCGAAGCTCGGTTGGAATGTAGAGACTCAACCTAAAGTGACATTAGCAGCTACCATGTTTTCCCCAAAATAAGACCCTGTCTTATATATTTTTGCCACCCAAAAGGGTACCAGGTCTTATTTTCAGGGGATGGAATCCACTGACTAACCTCACTTGTGTACATCATCCCCAGCCTCCTTTTCGCTGTCAGGAACAGCTTCTGTAGCCGGCAAGGCTTTCCTGAAGGCCTCTGCAGTCGATAACAAGAGATCTGGATCGATCCAGAGCTTTGTTGTCAGCTCCAAAGGCCTTCAGGAAAGACTTGCCGGCTGCAGAAGAAATGGGCCGGCAAGGCAGGTGTCGGGGTGTGCGAGGCCTGGCTACACCTGTCCAAAGGTAAGTAGTAGGGAAGCTCCACACACACACCCCAATCCCCGCCCTAGCTTAATTTTTACCTATGCACTCTGGAGTGGGTGAGGTCTTAATTAGGGCTTATTTTTTGGGGGGGTAGGGCTTATATTGGGTTCACGTGTAAAAAAATCAAGCTAGGACTTAATTTTGGGGAAGGTTGTATTTTCAGGGAAATGGGGACAATAAAGCACAATAAAATCCTGCAGGACAATTGCAAGCCAACCACAAAAATACAATCCCTGCTATTTGCTCCCCCAAAACAACACTGTCCGGAGTACGTATGGGTGATTTTGCGATCTCTCTTTACTCTGGAGATATTTGCGCAACCCAAATCTCACATTTGAATGCTGTTTCAGCCACAGTGTGTCCCTCTATCCTTGTCAGATGTGAACAATCAGGACCATATTGTTTGTGCCCAAAGAGGTTGTCCTTGACTTACGACCACAATTGAGCCTCACATCTCTGTCGCTAAGTGAGACAGTTAAGTGAACTTGGTCCCGTTTTACGAGCTTCCCGGCAGTTCAGAGTTGTTAGGTTTAATCCCAGGAGTTGATAAGTTAGAAACATAGTTGGTGTCAGTGAATCTGGCTTCCCTGTTGACTTTGCTTGTTAGAAGGGTCACAAAAGAGGATCACATGACCCCAGGACACTGCAACCGTCATAAATATGAGCCGGTTTCCAAGTATCTTAATTTTGATTACGTGTCCACGGGTGAGGCTGCAACGGTCGTAAGTGTGAAAAACAGGCATGTCCCTTTTTTCAGTGCCCTTGTAAATTCAAATGGACTTAAACAATTGGTTGCCAGCCAGCCAGCCAGCCAGTCAGCCTTCCCTCCCTCCTTCCCCCTTCCTTCTTTCCTTCCTTCTTTCTTTTCTGCCTTCCTTCCTTCCTTCTTTCCTGCCTGCTTGCCTTCCTTCTTTCCTGCCTGTTTTTCTCCCACCCTCCTCCTTTCCTGCCTTCCTTCCTTTCTTCTTTTCTTCCTGCCTGCCTTTCTCCCCCTTCCTTCCTTCCTTCCTTTTACACTCACTCATACACTCATTCATTCCATTCTTCCTCCCTCTCCTCCCTCCATTCTTTCTCCTTCTCCTCCCTCCATTCTTCCCTTCCTCCCTCCATTCTTCCTTCCTATTCCCTCCTTCTCTTTCTTCCTCCCTCCCTTCCCTCACCCCCTCTCTCCCTTCCCTCCCTCCTGGACCTAATGGATATTTTACTTCCAAATCTACCCTAAAACAAGAACTTACACCAAGCTGGTTTGACTTGAAACCCACCAAGGTGGAGAGGGGCAGGGAATCTCTCGTCTGTTTCTCTTTCCACCCCTCCCTCTCTCTCTCCCTCTCTCTCTCTCTTTTTCTCTCTCTCCCTGGGTTCTGTACCTGGTTTGTTGATTCAAAGGCCATTACTTCATTCCGCAGAGGGATGTTAGTCTTGGATTTCCATCAGGATGTTAAATTGTTGAGCTTATTCAGACAAATAAATGGGAAATACTTCAAAGGATCCAGCTTGAAGTGGACTTCAACTCCCAGGGTTCCCCATCCAGCCTGTCTGCCTGTATCAATGAAGGTCATGGTGACTCTTCCGGTTGGGCTATCCCCTCCCAGGTCTTTCAACCCCTGTTCTTCTTCCTACAGAACAGTTTGGAGGGAAGCCCGTTGAAAGAGGTGCTTATGGAGGTGCTTTGCAAAACGTTGAAGCCCAACTACAACCAGAAGCGAGATGACTGTACAATTTTGCTAGCTTCGGACACGGAGGATCTGAAGAGAGTAGCTGTGATCAAAGCATCCGTGCAAAGTAGGTGTGATCGTTACTCCTGAGTGAGACTTAAAGGCACAAAAGCTGAGCGTCTGGGCCTCCTTGTAGGAAGCGCTCACGCTTGGGAATACCTAAGAGCACCTCTTTCTCCTCCTGTCCTGGCCACTTTTTACCGAGGCACGATTGAAAGCGTTTTTTAACAAACCGCATCCCTGTTTGGTTTGGTGGCAGCAGTACCTCCGACAGAAAGTCCCTACAGAGAGTGGTGAGAACAACCAAGAAAGCTCACTTCCTGTTTATTCAGCATACTGCTTATAAGCGCTATGTGCTTAGAGCGTGAAGCCTTTTGAGAGACCCCCACACACCCACTTCAGGGTCTGTTTCTGTTGCTCCCCCTCTGTGGGGAGGTTTTGAAGTATTTCTAGCAAGATTACCAAATTCTGTAACCTGTAACAGGTTCCGTTCCCTATATGCCATCCATCCGGTAAACTCTCAAGATGAGTTTTTCTCACCATGTACATTGATACATCTGAATTAGACTGTGCTGTTTCTCTGTGTCATATAATAGATGTGCATAGTTTTGTATTTATTTGCATAATATTGTATTCATTCATTCATTCGTTCGTTCTGTCATGGTTATGTGGTGTATATTGGAGGGGGTGACCCTTGGAGAGCTGCATGCAAACAAAACTTCATTTTAATGTATGCCCATTAGTGTGACTATAAAAAGTTATTTGTTCTATTATTCTATTCTATTAATCTGCATCAAAAAATTTTTTTCCCCCAGCGGTCATCTTCACCAGTCTGGACTATCTGGGAATTTCATCTTGGGACTTTTGAAGCCAATGCTTGGTTACCCTGCTCGAGACTTAAGAGTGTAAACTATAGAAACATAGGGCTGGAGGGGACCTCAGAGGTCGTCTAGTCCAACCCCCCTGTGCTTACAGCATCCTGGTCAAATGGCTGTTCAGTCTATTTTGAAAGGCTCCGGTGATGGCGCATTCATAACTTTGCGAGGCAAGCCATCCCACTGACTCTCTGTTCTCACAGTCAGGAAATTTCTGCTATTTCTAGGATGTATCTTTTATTTATTCATTTGTATCCCGTCTTTATTATTATTTTTACAAATAACTCCACCTGGTGAACATTTCCACCACACCTTCTGTCAGGGCTCTGGCACTTACCCCCATTTAAAACATGAGTCTCGAGCCAAGCTTCCAAAACTTAAAAAGGATTTATCGGGAGTGAACATGCCGGCACTGACTGAGTGTAGCTGACTCTGAGACATATAATTCATTGTCTCCCTTGACCCTGGCTTCCCCCACTCACCCACCCCACTGGGTGTATCATAATTCATATTCTCCAATGGGACTCCTCCATAGCCCAGAGTCATCAATCCTGCTCTCCAGTTAGAATTTTGCGAAACTTCAGTCACCTAGTTACTATCTTTGAAAACTATTTGTGGAATGCACTTTTGCTTTCCAAACTGCCCCACTGCTCTTTCAAACCCCCTTTCCCCTCTCCGTTTCTGTTGGCAACTCTAAAAGGACCGTAGAAATATTTGACACCTTCTACCTCCTTTTTTCCCCATAACAACATCAACCCTGCGAGGTGGGTTTCATTTAAAAACGGCAGCGAGTCACTTAAGGAGTGTGGCAAAAAAAACAGGTCCAAAAAAAAAAGGGACCAAATTCACTTGCCAACTTGTCTTGCTTAGCCATGGAAATTTGGGGCTCAATTGTTGTTGTAAATCCACAACTTTCTGAACTCTCATTCTTTTGATTACCTATCTATTCTAAAGATTCCTATTCTATTTTCAATAAAGATTTCTATTCTATTCTATACTATTCTGTTCTATTTAAAGATTCCTATTCTATTCTCAATAAAGATTCCTATTCTATTCTATTCTATTCTCTATTCTATTTTCTATTCTATTCTCAATAAAGATTCTACTTATTCTATTTCTATTATTTCTATTCTGTTTCTATTCTGTTCTTCCTTCCTTATTCTATTCTTTTCTATTTTTATTCTATTCTATTCCATTAAGTTCTCACTTTAGCAGACATTTCATTTCACAAACTAGGTAACATCTAGCCACTAGCACTGATGACGTTACCTAGCTGAGTAATGAAACGTCTGCAAGAAAATAACCAAACTCAGAGAGCACCAATATCTTTCCTGGAGCCCAGGCGTCAACTTGGATTTGAGTCAACTTGAATTTGGGGTCAAAGCGTAAAGAGAGGACAGAAAAGCACCAAAAAAAAAAAAATAGCAGGCAGACTCCAGTCTAAGTTTCTGTTGGGTTTTTCAAACTGAATCCAAATTAAAATAAATGTCCTTTTTGAATCCGTTTCTTTCCATCTGGTTATGATTCAGTGTGAGCTTTTTTCACACTCAAGATTCAAGAGACAGGAACGCTGAAGGGTTTCCGTTAGAATAAAAAGGAGGTGAACTTACTCAATTTCCTGTGTGTGTGTGTGTGTGTGTGTGTGTGTGTGTGTGATCTTAATGAGTGTGGAGATTCTCAGTCAACCATCATTGTCCCAAAGGCAATATTCAAAAGCCAGCTGTTTCTTCTTGTTGTTTTTCCTGAAAACGTTTCGCTTCCCCTCCAAGAAGCTTGTCCAGTTCATTAAGGGAAGAACTGAAGAAGCTTCTTGGGTGGGCAGGGAAACATCTTCAAAGGAAGAATCCAGGAAAGCCCAGTTGCCTTTGAGATGTGCATCACCTTAAGGTAACCATGACAAACTTTTGATAGGAACTGTTTCCCCCTCCAAATCTATCTTCATAAATGACTTAGATCAGGGAACAGAAGGGGAACTTATCAAATTTGCAGATGATACTAAGCTGGCAGGAACAGCCAACACCCAAGAAGATAGGCTCAAGATCCAGGTGGATCTCGACAGACTAGAACACTGGGCCGTATCTAACAAAATGAAATTCAATGTAGAGAAAAATCCTACACTTAGGCAAGAAAAACCAAAAGGACCCATATAGACTGGGTGAAACGAGGCTCAACAGCAGTAACTGTGAGAGGGATCTTGGAGTCTTAGTGGACAACCAGCTAAATAGGAACCAGCAGTGTGCAGCAGCAGCCAAAAAAGCCAATGCAATCCTAAGTTGCATTAAAAGAGGGATACAATCCAGATCAAAAGTGAGGTACTAATACCACTATATAAAGCCTTAGTAAGACCACACCTAGAGTACTGCATTCAGTTTTGGTCACCACACTATAAAAAGATGTTGAGACTCTAGAAAGAGTGCAGAGAACAGCAACCAGGATGATTAGGGGACTGGAGACTAAAACTTACGATGAACGGTTGCAGGAACTGGGCTTGGCTAGTCTAGGGAAGAGAAGGACCAGGGGAGACAGGAGAGCATCTTCCAATATTTGAGGGGCTGCCACAGAGAGGAGAAAGGGGACAAGCTATTTTCCAAGGCACCTGAAGGCCAGAGAAGGAATAATGGATGGAAACTGAACAAGGAGAGATTTAACTTGGAAATAAGGAGAAACTTTGTGACAGTGAGAACAATCAACCAGTGGAACAGAAGTTGCCCTAGGAAGTTGTGGGAGCTTCATCACTGGAAGCTTTCAAGAAGAGATTGGACTGCCATTTGTCAGAAATGGTGTAGGGTCTCCCGCTTGGGCAGGGGGGTGGACTATATGACCTACAAGGTCCCTTCCAACTCTGTGAATCTAATCTAACCAAAGTCTACTTTTCCCTTTGATCCCTTTTATTTATTTTTCTTAGCACACTTTGTGGATGAGGAATTATCCGAAGCTCTGGCTGCGAAGAAGGCAGAACTGGAGAAGGTAAGCAGGAAGTCATTCTAGAGAAGATCCAATCTCCTGTGTTTTCTAACCAGGACCTATTGTCCTACAAACATTGCTGAAACACAAATTCTGGTGGATTTTGTTGGCCAGACTTGGTTGGCATAGGAGTTGAGAAACATCTGAGGGTCATGAATGGTTCACACAAATTTAAACCACATCTGGAATGTAGGAAAATTCCAACCGCAGTGACACCTTATGCAGAGACATTTCTGCCTGGTTGGAAGAGAATGTCTCAAAAATTAAATCTCAGGTTAGACATCATGACATGTGTTGACGTTTTGACATCATCGTGACTTGTTATGGACACGGCTGCTGAGGAACAGTTTGAGGGATTCTCTTAAGTAAGTATAGTTATCTTCCAAATCTTGTGGGTTTTTTTTTTGAGCATTTGTAAAATCAGGATGAAATTCTGTGTAATAAATATGGGGGAATATGTCATTCTTCTAGTTATTTCATCTAATGCATGGGTGTCCAGTTTTGGTAACTTTAGGATCAGACAACTTTAGGATCTTTAAGTAACCAAAGTTTGACACTCTTGATGATCTAATTACAAGGGGCTTAAAACTTGGCAAGTTTAAGACTTGTGGACTTCAACTCCCAGAATTCCTGAGCTAACATGACTGGAGGAGGAATTCTGAGAGTTGAAGTCCACAAGTCTTAAAACTGTCAAGTTGGAGGACCCCTGATCTAGTATAATATCCATCTTCTCAAAGTTGATGTCCTTCAGATGTGCTGTGTTGTAATGACGAGGCAGTCGAGTTGTTTGATCATGAACAACTGAATCACGATGATCTTTATTGGAGTCTAGTCTTGCATTTATACACATTTTTAGTTATCCTCCATCATTGGTTAACTTTGGTTACTGCTTAACTTTGCTAACTGTTTAGCATAGTAATTAACACAATTAATTATCTCTAGTTAAAGTCTAACATATGTTTACTTCCCCTCTCTAATCCTCCTTTAGATTAGTGACTTTGTTTGCCTGAGTTGTATTTGCTTGGAAACATTCTTTATCTGAGGTTTGCCACCCGAGATTGGAACATTCCTGCAATTACAACTCTACAGTGCTGGACTACAATTCTGGTCATTTTCCACTCGGTTCTTCGACATGGGAATTGGGATCCTGTCCTTTGGTGATTTCCAGTTTGGGAAGCTTACCAACGGATGCTTTCCGTGGGAAACCAGACAAATGTTTTGTGAGATCACCAGGTGTCCATTCCACATTCTCACCAGTCAAAAAAAGGAGACTCCCGATGACTGTTTGGATGTCCAACACAACTGCTACTGGTACCATGGCAGGTCCTTCCCCGAAGGGAAGCGTTTTACCCCCATTCTGAATTAGCATATCGTGTGGTAACATGTACGCCAAACCAAAGGGACGTGGTGGCTCAGTGGCTAAGACGCTGAGTTTGTCGATCAGAAAGGTCGGCGGTTCGAATCCCTAGCGCCGCATCACGGAGTGAGCTCCCGTTACTTGTCCCAGCTTCTGCCAACCTAGCAGTTCGAAAACACGTTAAAAAAAAAAAGGCAAGTAGGAAAATAGGGACCCCTTTGGTGGGAAGGGAACAGCGTTCCGTGCGCCTTCGCACGGAGCTGGGATAAGTAACGGGAACTCTGTTACGCAGTGCTAGGGATTTGAACTGCCGAACTGCCGACCTTTCTGATCGATGAGCTCAGTGTCTTAGCCACTGAGCCACCACGACCCCATTTATTGGTACTACCTGTAAAAAAAAAAACCCTTTGAAATTCATAGAGAATCCAAAATAGAGGTCTCTTTTTTGCCTGAAGCCAACAGTTCACCAGATATTCTTTCAACAGTTTGGCGTTAACAACATCACCTATGGTGGGCAAACCCTGGACGCTGAGCCCAAAGATCATCTGAGTCTTCCTCTGATTATCACCATCATCTGCATGGCGGCCTCTCTGCTCCTGGTAGCTGCCATCTATGGCTGCTGTCACCAACGTATTTCTCAGAGGAAGGACCAGGTAAGGTCAAACAAACACAAAGTCCAGAAGCGGTTTCCAAGTAGAAACGAAAATAATTGCATTTTTTTTCCCCTGTAATCTTAAATAAATAGAATAAATAACAGAGTTGGAAGGGACCTCGGAGGTCTTCTAGTCCAACCCCCTGCCTAGGCAGGAAACCCTACACCACTTCAGACAAAGGGTTCTCCAATCTCTTCTTAAAAACTTCCAGTGTTGGAACATTTGCAACTTCTGGTGGCAAGTGGTTCCACTGATTAATTGTTCCCAATGTCAGGAAATTTCTCCTTAGTTTTAGGTTGCTTCTCTCCTTGACAGGTTAGCCATCTTTTCTACCTCCGTCAACTTTGGCAACCGGCTCATATTTATGACGGTCGCGGTGTTTCGGGGTCACGTGATTCCCCCTTTTGCGACCATCAGAAGAGCAATGTCAATGGGGAAGCCACATTTGCTTCACAACCTGGTTACTCACTTTAACTGCGGTGATTTGCTTAAACAACCGTGGCCAGGAAGGTTGTAACACGAGGCAAAAACCCTGTTGAAATGTTGGGTTCCATTGTGGTCGTGAGTTGGAGGACTACCTGAACATACCCAGGGGAAGCATAGGAGCCCTTTGGGGCAATTACATCGGGGTGACACACACACACCCCAAAATCAGAGGTGGGGTTCAGCCGGTTCTGACCAGTTCTGGAGAACCAGAAGCGGAAATTTTGAGTAGTTCGGAGAACCGGCGAATAGCACCTCTGACTGGCCGCGCCAACCCCATCTCTTCTCTGCCTCCCATTGAGTCCCAGCTGATTGGCTGGGTCTCCTTTGGTTGCCCTGCCCAGGAGAATGGAGCTGGAAAGCAGGTTAGTGGGCTAGGGAGGGAATGGAGATTATAGAATAGCATGAGAATGGAATGGGAATGGAATGGAATGGAATAGAATAGAATATGGAATGGAATATGGAATGAAGAATAGAATAGAATAAAATAGAATAGAATAGAATAGAATAGAATATGGAATGAAGAATAGAATAGAATAGAATAGAATAGAATAGAATAGAATAGAATAGAATAGAATAGAATAGAATATGGAATATAGAATAGAATAGAATAGAATAGAATAGAATAGAATAGAATAGAATAGAATAGAATAGAATAGAATATGGAATGAAGAATAGAACAGAATAGAATATAGAATGAAGAATAGAATAGAATAGAATAGAATAGAATAGAATAGAATAGAATAGAATATGGAATGAAGAATAGAATAGAAGAATACAATAGAAAGAATGGGAATGGAATGAGAATGGAATGGACTAGAATAGAATGGAATAGAAATAGAATAGAATTCTTTATTGGCCAAGTGTGATTGGACACACAAGGAATTTGTCTTGGGGCAAATGCTCTCAGTGTACATAAAAGAAAAGATACATTCGTCAAGAGTCAAGAATCATCAGGTCCAACACTTAATGATAGTCACAGGGTACAATAAGCAATCAAATCATGCTAGGAAACAGTCCATATAAATCCTAAGGGGATGCAAGCAACAAAGTTACAGCATTTTGCAGTATCCTTCCACTGGAGTTGGGGGGAGGGAACGGGGATTTTGCAGTATCCTTCTCCCTGCCCTGCCCACCAAGCCACGCCCACCAAGCCACGCCCATAGAACCGGTAGTAAAAAAGAAAAAATCAATCCCCCCCCCCACTGCTCTCAACCCTCGCCTCTGACTTGTCCGCCTTTCCCTCCCGTCCAGCAGCGCCTGACAGAAGAGCTGCACACCGTCGAGAACGGTTACCACGACAACCCCACGCTGGAAGTGATGGAGACGTCGTCCGAAATGCAGGAGAAGAAGGTGAATCTGAATGGGGAGGTGGGAGACAGCTGGATCGTGCCCATGGACAGCCTCACCAAGGACGAACTGGACGAGGAAGAAGACACCCATTTATAAGCGGGCGGGGTTTGCGTGTTTGTGTGTGCGTGTGTGTTGCTCTGGGTGTTTTGTTTTGTTTTTAACAAAAAAAACAAAAAAACAAAGAAGAGGGTAGAGGAGGAGACGAAAAAGGTGGAACTTCAGGCTGGCTGAACTCTGCCCCCCCCCTTCAAATTTCTACAAAGATGGAAAACTCCAATCTTCAGCCACAAGTGCCGACGCGGGAAGGAGGAGTTGCGATGGCACCAGACAGAACGGCAGGCGCACCTGCCAAATTTTTGTGATTTTTTTTTTTGGTTGTTGTTGTTATTATCAACATGTTGTTTGTTTGTTTTTAAACCCATTGACTTTCTGGGCAAAGTTATATCTATGCATACTGATTTTTAAGGACAGCTCTTTAAGCATTGGCCAAGGGTCAGAGAGAGAGAGAGAGAGAGAGAGATGACGGTATAGAGAAATAATCAGAATTTGTCCTGAACAACGGAGACCTGAACAGGAAACCTACGGGAAAGAGAAGCTTTCCTGATGCCACCCAAATGTTTTGTTTTGTTTTTCCCTTGACGGTGTTTTAGCAAGAATTGCAAGTCTCTAGTCCTCATGGCGCCTGAACGAGCTGAGTGCAGTCGGCTTTCAATCTGAAAAGATGGAACTAGGGCGGGATTTTTCAGGTAGACAGAGGTTGGGAAAATAATATTTTGCTCCAGTAGGGCCAGGATGCCAAAATAAGGGTTTTAGGACCGACGTTCGTGAAAGCTCCTTTCTCTCTTTTCAAAACTGGATTTATATATATATATATTTCCCCCTTGGGGGCATCTTCAAAAACCTGGAAAGACAATCTCCGTTCTTGATCGTTGCCTGTGGCCCACGATGCTTATGCGAGCTTGTGCGTGCTTGGCTTCCAAATATGGGCTGCAAAAAAAAGTGAAGGTTTGTAGAAGGTATGTGTACTTCTGTGTGTTTCGGGTTGTGTGTGTGTGTGTGTGTGTGTGTCAAAATTGCAGCTCTCAGCCGGGAAGAGCAAAGCACTGGGACATCGGGAAAGCGAGAAGCACAGCCAGTTTTTAGAAACCAGCCTCTACATACAGAATTAAATGTGTTTGGAGATTCTCGGTCATTGCAGGTCATGGTCTTCCTTGAAGACATTTCACTTCTCATTCCAGGAAGCTTCTTCGGTTCTGGCTGAATGGTGGAGGATGGAAGGATTTACCATCCTTGCAGTCATCTGCTCATTAGTGCTCTCTGTGAGGATCATTGAAGCCACTTGGAGGTTTATCTGTGCCCTCAGGGTCACCTGAATAATGCAAATGGGTGTGGGGTCTTTTTGGAACTTCTGAAATGGCTGTGTTGTAAACAGGAGACGGTGGGTGTCGTATCCCTCCCCCTCTTTTGAGGGACAGCTTGTCATCCCCCTGTCAGAGTCTGAATCTGAGGAGGAAGCCAAACAGCTGACAGGGAGTGGGATTGTGGCTCCGTTGACTTGGAGGAGGCTGGGGAAGGGCAAAGTCTGGTTGGGCAGAGCAGGGAAGAGGTAGAGTAAGGGAGAGGGAGTTCAGAGGAAGATCCAGGCCCATCCCTTCTTCATCCTAGGGAGGGAGCAATGGAGAAGGGAGCAATGTGAGTTGCATGGCTTACAGGGGAGGAAAGGGCCCTGATTCCCTTCATTAGCCACACCTGGGAAGACAGTTGACAAGAAAGGCAGACTGCGTGCAGCAGGCTGCTGGGAATAAACGTGACTTTATCCTGTGTTGTCGTGGCTTATCTGTGTTCCTGGCATCTTCCCAACTGTGTGAGTTTTGCCGTGCCTTCAAGCCTGAAATTCTTGCTCCTGCCCTTCCAAACTAATTACTTCAGTTTGGCTTGTTTGGACTTTAAGTTACAGTTTGTGTTGCTCATGTTTTGGACTTGATTCTCTGCAGCCAACGGCTGTTCCTGGGAGTTTGTTTTCTCCAGCCAGAAGGTAACCTGGACACTGAGGGCAAAGTTGGAGATAAAAAATGGACTCTTATTGTTTATCTGACTGTGTTGCCTTTGTACCACGCCCCAGGTCATCACCCAGCTGTTCAGTCTTAATGTAGATGGCCTGTTTAACTCCATTTGTCCAAGATAAACCTCCAAGTGGCCTCAGTGACTCTCACGGCCGGATGACTGCGAGGAATATATATAAGTCCTTCCATCCTCCGCCATTCAGAAGTGAAGAAATCTCTTGGCTGAGAAGCAAAATGTCTTCAAGGGGGAAAAAAAAGCCCAATTGCCTTATGAAAAGAAAAGAAAAAGCACCTTTGGGAGATCCACAATCAAATAAAAGGAGAAGCAGAATGTATGGGCTGGGGAGAGAGGGAATATTAATCGATGTGCAGGGCTGGGTGGGATTGGGTTGGGTTTAATTTGCCATAAAAATGATAGCAATACTAAGTCCGTCCAGACTGAGAATCGTCTTGAAAAAAAGTGCGTGTTGTGCCTTGATGTGGATCCATAATTGATCCTTCTCTTACTTGCAGCTCTCCCCAAGCTGTGGGGATTTACAAATTGTACAGGTCTCCAATGTGTATGTGCGTGATGGGGAGGTACACCTGTTCACCCTCCTTGCCTTATCCAGAGAGGCACAGGTATATTTCACTTAAGGGATTGATGAAGGAATGGATGAGCTGTTCACCTTCGATTAAGGTTATCGCCACATCTTTTTCCATATAGGATTCCCCCTCCCCAAAATGGCTACGTAGAACCATGAGGGGCCTTGGCAGAGCACCCAATATGGAGTTTTCCAAGTTTGGCCATTTTAAAATGTGTGGACTACAACTCCCAGAATTCCCCAGTCAGCTCCCTGCAGTCAAAACACAAGATTCTCACCATCTTCTTTAACTAGATTTATTGAAAAGGGGAAAGGGAATAGAAATCTTGGCCACTGGATACCTTTGTTATAGCATTTATCTTTCTGGTGGAGTTTTCTTGATCCTCTCACTAACCATCCATGGTGCCCTGGGGAAATGGCTATTCATGGTCAAAGAAGAATTATGGGGACGTTTTGTACTTGTCATATTCAGTGTCTCTCAACCTTGGCACTTTTAAGGTACGTGGACTTCCAACTGCCAGAATTCCCCAGACACCAGGGAATTCTGGAAAATGAAGTCCACAAACCTTGCCAAGGTTGGAAAAAAAACATTGTCATGAAGTATTTGGCAACCTCTAAGATATCTTCAAAGGCTTTGGAGAAACCCATAAAATATGCCAAGGGAACTGAGGCCAGCCAACTCAGGGCTTACATTTTTTGCAACCATCAGCTTTTGCTGGTGTCCTCAAGTAACCTGGTAGTAGTTGCCTTTTGGTTGGGTTTGGTTGGTTTTTTTGCAAGCTTCCAGAAGCAGTTTGCATAACTCTCTTGAACATCTGAGTGATCCATGGCTGTCTTCAGAGGAATCGGTTGGGAACCTGGCCAGAATAGAAAGCACTACACACACAAAAAAAGTGAATGCTGCAAAGGAAAATTGCTGAATTCTGACTGAAAAAGCGCAGCCTCCTGAAAATGAGCCTTGAATGAACACCGCCCTTTAGTTACAATTAAGAGTCCTGATTTTATGGGAGTAAAATTTTGCCAGTAATGCAGCTATACTCCGTGGTGAGCTGCAACCAGTTTAACAAACCGGCTCTGTGAGCGCAGGCAGCGTTCAATAAACACCAATTTGAATCTCCCCAGTGATCCACCCCCATTCAAATCATAAGTCTCTAGCCACATCTCTCAGAGTAAAAAAAAAAAAGATTAGGAGTGACCATGTCGGTGCTAGCTGGGTGCAGCTGACACTAAAATACATCACTTCCCCCTGGCCCTGGTCTTATCTCCACCCCCTGAATGTATATTCTCCAATGGGACACATCCATAGCCAAGAGTCATCAATCATGCTCTTCAGTAAGATTCTTGCGCACTGACAGCTTTGAGGCACTTAAGGAATGCGCTGCTTTCCCCGACTCCCTTTCTGCTGGCAATTAAAAAGACCAAAGGAGTAATTTTTTTAGTTGACATCCAGCTTACTTTCTAACTTTCCCCAGTAAGTAGAACAGCTGAGGTGCGGTAATCCACTTTGCCATGTGAATTAGCTGAGCTGCAAAATGAAGGAAATGTAAAGTATAGGAATAGGGCAGGTGGCGGATGGCCAGGGCCAGCTGACTGTCGTTCGTACTGGTTCGCTAGAACCAGTCCGAACCAGCAGCAGCTCACCATTGGCTATACTATGAGAGAGGTCATGTGTTTCTCGCTTCCAAGCAAACAGATGGGTGGGAAAAATCAGTTCTGCAGATTTATTAGCAGGATTTATTGCTAGCATGGAACAATTTCAGGATACTGGCTGGAGGATTGGGCCATTTTTCCAGCCACTTTTAGACGATTTTTGCAATGTTTGCCATGACCGGTTCCCACAGGAAACCTATAACATGACATCTTTCCGATGTTGTAAACGGTACTTGCCAAACGACAAATTAAGCCAAAGCTCAGCCTTGAATACATCTGTTCATGTAGTGGCAACTTGAAGTTACAATGGCACTAAAAAAAAAAAAAAAAAGAGTCTTAGCACCATTTTTCACACGACTGTTGCAGCCTCCCCGTGGTCACGTGATCAAAATTTGGACATGTGGTATCTGGTTTATGTTTACGACGGTTGCAACATCCCGGGGTCACGCAATCCCCTTTTGCAAACATCTGACCAGCAAAGTCCATGGGGGAGGCCAGATTCATTTAACAACCGTGTTACTAATTTAACAACTGCAATGGTTTGCTTAACAACGGTGGTGAGGACGGTCGTAAAATGGGGCAAAGCTCGCTTAGCAATAGCACTTATATACCACTTCACATGGTTTTACAGCCCACTCTTAAGTGGTTTGCGGGGTCAGCATGTCGCCCCCAACAATCTGGGTCAGCAACAGAAATCTGGGGTTCAATTGACTACCCTGTTTCTCTGAAAATAGGACCCGACTGGAAAATAAGCTCTAGCATTTTTCAGGATGCTCATAAGATTAAGCCCTACCCCGAAAAAAAGCCCCAGTTAAGATTGTCAGCCAGACGGATGCATTTAGAGCAGTATTTCCCCGAAAATAAGACCTAACCAGAAAATAAGCCCTAATGCATCTTTTGGAGCAAAAATTAATATAAGATCCTAGGTCTTATTTTTGGAGAAACACAGTAGCTCTGATTGCGGGGTGGAGTGGGGTGATGTTTGCATCCCCCACATGTCTTCGAGACTTTCAGGGGTGCAGTCCCAACGTCCCTACTCTGAAGTCCATCAACACCGGCCTTTCTCCTCCTGTTTGTAGAGAAGACAAGGAAGTGGGAAGACATTCGGTCTGCCAAGGAAAATAATTTGAAGGAAACTGCTGAAAGGAACGATAAAACCGGCCCGAGGCTTGTTATTAGTATAAAACCCCAGTATCACCCCAGTCGCTTGTAAGATCTCTGAGGAGAGAGATAACAGGATGGGTGGGACCGCCGATGCTTCCTTAAAAGATGGATTTACGGTGCCTGGAGGATGCTTTTTTTAAAAAAGACAAAGGGTTCTTTGGCACATCCTGTTAGAAGTAGGATGCATTCGAGTATTTGTACAAGCAGGGAGTCAAAATACTGAATGATGGGCAAGAACAGTCTGTAGAGATTCTCATCCATCCAGGTCAGGATTGTCCCAAAGGTGCTTTTTTTTTTTCAGGACACTGGCCTGCCTTGTTTTTCCTTCTTTTGAAGACATTTCGCTTCTCATCCAAGAAGCTTCTTCAGTTCTTCCATTCCCCACCATCCCGCCAGAGCCGAAGAAGCTTCTTGGATAAGAAGTGAAACGTCTTCAAAAGAAAAGAAAAAAAAGTCCAGTTGCCTCCTTAAAAAAGCAACTTTGGGACAAACCTGAACAGTTTCAAACCATCCTCAGATCTCGACCTCACCTACTTGAAGACATGTGGACTTTGACTCCCAGAATCCCCCAGCCAGACAGCATGATTGGCTGGGGGATTCTGGGAGTTGAAATCCACCTATTCTGAAGTTGCCAAGATGGCGAAACACTGGAGATTCATATTACTAGAACTTCATTGCCTGTCTGGTTTGCCGTCTGAGGTAGAGGAAGAAAAAAAACCCTAGTTTATCCAACAGACAAACCCAAATGTTGGTTTGATGTGCGGGTGGCATTTTTGCTTGCAGTCTGAGATTTAAAATGGGACACGCCCCCTCCCCCCATTCGATGGTGGTTTATTCAACAAAGCAGGTCTAAGCCAACAGTGGTTTAATGTGGCATGTGACCCGAGGCGTAGGACATGGACTTTCATGACCATATCCTTCCACAGGTAGTCCTCGACTTACGGCTGGCATTGAGGCCAAAATTTCCATCGCTAAGCAAGAGAGTTCAGTGGTTTCACTCCGTGTTATGTCCTTCCTTGCCATCATTGTTAAGTCAGTCACCCAGTGGTTAGACTGAATCTGGCTTCTTCCCTGTCGATTTGGCTTGTCGGAAGGTTGCAAAAAGGGGATCAGGACAGTGTGACCGTCATAAATACGGATGCCTGTCATCAGTCCCTTTTTTCAGTGCCATAATGTTGAACGGTCCCTGAACGAACTGTTGTAAGTCAGAGACTACCTGTACAAATTCCAGCTCAGATTAGAACCCTTCCAAGATTTGATGGAGGTGCTTCTAACGCCTCTTCATGGGCTTCTAAAAATGTGCAATTGGGCCACTGGATGTTTCGTTAAGCCTTAAGGAGAGATTGGAATCTCCTATGCCCAGGAGGACTGTGCCTGTTTGTGTGTGTGTGTTGTGTGTGTATGTTGCAGCTTACTGGGCCTCTATTTTTGTAATCCGAATGGACTGTGGCATACATTTTAGTCCCTTTTGATTGTAATAATAAAAAAAAAATTGGGCCGTTGCACCCAACGCTGTAGTTTTTTTTTGCCCCCGGCACATTTTGTGCTGAAACAGGAGTCAGGTATACACTGGAATTCAAAAATAAAAAATGATTGGGTTGTAAAAAGTATGGTTACATTTTCCTACAAAGTATATTTTGATGACATTGCTTATTACTGTCAAATAAAAAAAAATTCTTTTGTGGAGTGTTGGCTTCTTCTCTCGACGATATATTGGCCTACCTGTGAGGATGAAGATGCACGTTTTCGAACTGAGCCCTGTAGAATTTTCTTTGCTCCAAAATTTAGTGTCCAATTCAACCTGGGGCCGAACTTACCATCCACAGTCACAGTCCAGATGTAATTTTAGTATTAACATTGATGATGAGACATGTGTTCTAGAGGTGCTTCTGAGATTTAAAAGGAGAACAACAGACTTTTTTTAAAAAAAGAAAAAAAAAAGAAAGATCTTGTCCTCTTAACAGAGTTCAGGTCCTCTCATGAAATTGACAAAATTCTGCTGCTTCTGAAAATTCAAAAAGCTCCAAGGCCTGGCTTGAGCATAGATGGATTTTAATTTTTAATTTTGATCGCAGGCAACTGCACTGCCTTGTTTTTTTCTTCTGAAGACGTTTTGCTTCTCATCCAAGAAGCTTCTTCAGCTCTGGATGGTGGGGGAATGGAAGGATTTACATTCCTTTGCAGACAATGCTGGTCATTTGTATCTTTTAAAAGAAAGCCGTTGAGGCCCCTTGGGAGACTTTCAAGAAACACCTACCGCAAAAAATCCCAAGATCGGCGTAATTTCTTTTTATTAAGAAAAAAAATGAACAAAATACATTCTTTCTCCGTATATACATTACATACAGCAAAAATTCTACATTGGGAATTGCTCTTCTTGTCCCCAGAGTCATTCTTAACATACATCTTCAACCTGGCAGAACAATCGTACGACCGAACGATGCGGGAGCCGAGAGGCGGAAAGGACATCCGAAGATACCCGCAGCGGTGAGCACGGCAAGGAAAAAGGCCCTGCACGCGGCGATCGCTTGGCGTGCACCGGGTGGGTGGCAAATCAAAAGGACTGGAAGGAGCTTTATGGACGATAAGAGGAGATGAAAACCCATGCCTGGGCCTAGTGGTTATCCCACAAGCACGCTTGTGTCAAATGGCCGTGCACAATTCGGTATGATTTACACCAGAGGATCTCTAAACGTGGCCTCTTGAAGACTTGTGGACTTCCAACTCCCTGGCTGGGGAATTCTGGGAGTTGGAAATCCACAAGTCTTAAAATGGGTCACATTTGAAAACTCCCGATTTTACACAATCTAGCTAAACTAACATTTTAGCTCATCCTAGACGGGACCAAACGGCCTTGATTCCTTTGGTATTAAAATGCCTTTGGCTCGCCCTGCCTCTAATCTTTAGTTTTCTGCTTTGTTTTTGTTTTTTTAAATACAATGGTTAACATTCCCACAGCTGCTTCTACCACAAGTGATCCTTCAAATTGCTTTTCCAACCTGGCCAGAAAAAAAAAAAAACGTGCTGCAGGATGAAGAATCTAGGCTTATGTCAAACATAAACCAATCAAAACCCGCTTCTAAGAGCACAGGTCAAATTTCTCTCTCTCTCTCACACACACACACTCACACCACTTTGAAGGGCACACCTCACTCTTCAGAGAAGGCCATCAAGTTGACCAAGTCAATCGACTGAATTCCAACCCTTGCCTTTTTTCCCAAAGCAACGTCCCTATCGGCAGCCTTGGACAGACTTCTATTGCTTTCTCACATCTTTTACCACATTTTCCAAATTTTGGGAAAAGCAAATTTGAGAAATCAGAGGGTGGATTTCCTCACTCATGCCTGGAACTTCGGGTGCCTTTCCGATTATTCTTGAGCTTCTCTAAGCAAGCCCAAGGGGCCCGCGAGATTTCGTTTGACTTGAAGACCATTTCGTCGTTGAGCCAATGGAGCAAGTCAACAACGATCAATTCTGTGGGTCTTTCCCACCCCAGAACTACGCCGTAAAAAGGAGCTACAAACCTGTAGCGTTTTTAAAGAGGGAGCGGTTCAGTTTTCAACATGACACCTGTCAGTCTTCTAAGACTATCAAAATTCCGAGCCAATCTGTGAATGGCATACCTGGGTGTACCGAATGGGAACTGATCAAACAGATATGACAAGAAGCTACCGCCTCTGTCAAACTGTTAGATCCGCATCAAAATTTCAAGATGGCATGGGAAATAAACTGGGTTTCTTCATTGTCGTCTACTGTGATGTCGGTGGTTGTGATGATCTTCGGATCAGGTTTCACATGTCATCTTCGGAGAGTCTCTGCCAGTGGCCATACAGGATTTCTAAAGCCAGAACTTTTTTTTATTATCTGCTCTCTCTTTTCTACAGAATTATATACGAGAAGTTAAGATTAAAACCCAGAAGTTGAAACGCATCCTCGCTCGAGGACGCCTTCTCACCTCCTCCTCTTCTCACACAAGACCTCCCAATCCGTCCTTCCTGAGAGATGCTCCTCTTTTGAAATTTGAGGGCTCCTCCTGAAGCGGGTGGTGGGTGTGGCAAGAGGAGCTGTGATAAAAAAGGGGGCAACGCCCCCAAAAGTGAGCAAAAAGGATCCCTTTTGGAGAAGGTTTGAGGTCTATCCTTTCAACCCCCTGAAGTCCGCAACCTCTCACATCTCGATATTTCTGACCATCCCAAGACTTTTCAGCTATCTAGAGAAATCTAACTGACCAGAACGGCCAAATCTCTACACTGGACCAATTGATTAAAAGAAATATCAACCGATTTCACCTTGTTCTGCTGAATGGGTGATAGGGAAGTTCCAATTATGAAGAATCTTTTGATGCCTACAAGGCTACGTCTCTGCCTTAAATTATCAGTTCGTAAGTAGAAAGCACTGCCGCTATTGTGGTCTACTCAAAAAGATTTCCATAACAAACTGACCTGCTGTTATTAAACAACGGGATGTTGGGAGCTTATTAGACACATCACATTTGAAAGGGTCTAGTCCAGGAGTTGGCAACCCGTGGCTCTGGAGCCACATGGGACTCTTTCACTCCTCTGCTGCATCTCCCTGTTGCCTCCACAATTGATAGGGCTTTTGGTGAGGAGAGGTAGAGGAAAAAGGATGCTGTGCTAGGAGACTCTATGGTGGGGGAACTGGACTTCCAGTTGGCAGAGGAAAAAAGACACACTCTCTATGGTGGGGGAACCGGACTTCCGGTTGGCTCTAGAATTGAATGGGGGGGCTTCCAGTTAGGGCCTCTGTGGCTCTTTTGAGCTTTTAAGGTTACCGACTTCTGGTTTAGTCTAAAGAAAGCAGAAATCAAGCCTTGGGCTGTTGGTGGATCCATGGTATGGGAGCCTGAGGGATACCTTCTGCATCTGAACAGCATAGATGGAAGCAACGAATGCTTAAGGGCAGGTTATGAACTGCTGTTGCTATCTCAACGTAAAGAACGCTTGGAAGAAAATCTCAATTAAATCGTTCATTCAATTAGCATGCCCCACCACACAAGAACGCACGCTCCATGGGAAGACAGGGGTTCTCAGGTAAGGCATGCAAATTACTGGAAGAGGGGTCCATGCAATGCATTCTAAACAGCCCCCCCTCCAAAAAATACCATAAGGTTGAGAGGGAAGAACGTCACACTGACTACCACGGTCTTATCTATACGCGGAAAAATCTAGAGAATTTTTTCTGGTTCATATGAAGAGGACGGTAAAACTCTACTTGAAATCCAGGTGTGAATCTGGTACCTGTGTCGTACCTGACAATTAAAAGTTCATTTAAAATAGGGAGTGGGGGGGAAAACATCTTTAAAAAAAATTCTAGGTGCCTCAAAAAGGAAAAAAAAAAAGAATTGTGATTTTCAAATGATGACACTTGGCTGTTGTATTAATACAGATCCTTTTAAGTCTACACTGGCCACAATTATATGGCATCATAAACCATGGGTTGATCACACAAATTCAAGAGCTGGCTGCAATGCAAATTTTGCACTGGGTTGAGTCCAACGTGTTTCCTGTGAATGAGGGAGTCCTGCATTTTAAAAGCAAAGCGATGTCAAACCATGGCTTCCGACACTGGCTTAGGTGAACCACAAAGTCGGGTTTGAACAAAATTACAACATGAGGTTAATCAAAACCCTCTAAACTGAGCTGGTGTAGGGGAAAAGGCGGCACAGCACTCGAGCTTGAAGTTTCTCGTTATACTGCACCGATCACCAAAATCTTGGCTTACAATGATATCGGCATCAGTTAAGATCAATTTCTGCTGGTCCACCTAATCTTGTTTTCCACAGCAAATCTGGCTTGGCTTTTGTTCTTTTGTCCCTTGGGTTCTTTTATTTTCTTAGAAGTCCTAAGAAATCATTTTGGAAGGGTTAGATCAGTCAGCCTTTTTAAGCAAAGGTGGACAATCTAAGTGGTCCACCAGATGGTGGTGGAAAAGACGTCTCCAACCAGTACAGCCGATGGGAAAGACATGGCAGTAGATGTCCTTCAGAAGCACCTGCTAGTTCCTGATTGCTCAACAATTTTAGGAATGTCAGATGCCTTCCTTTTCCTGAAGCAACCAAGAGCAATCCCAGTGGGGTTTGCTTTCCAGCTTCCACCCAAAACCCAAACTCACAAACCACCCGACAAAATGACAAAAAATACACATGCTTTGGTTGCTCCCCCCCACAGGGCTGAAAAGGGGGGGGGGGGGGGCAAAGCTCATTGAATCCATGAACCCTGACTAGGCTAAATATATATTTCTTCCCTGAGTCTTTAAATGCTAAAGACATTTCCTATTAACCATGGGAACAGAAGAAATTTAATACTTTTTCCAAGGCGTGAAAACGTGCAAGATGGAAGGGCCCGGGGCCACGATCAAAACCGCATATTGTATGTGCGTGGAAAACACCAACAGGAGTACGTTTTCTAGTATAAACTTGCAGGTTGTTACATTACACACAAACACACCAGAAAGACCTCACTCTTTCTCTCTGTGATGTAACTTCCGCTAAATTTATGAAACCAAAGCCAAAATATCTCCATATCCTGATTAATTTCCTTACTTTACCAAGCAAAACTGTAACGGGAAGAGTTGTAAATGGGAAAGAAATGGGAGTTTTGTGGGGAGGACACCGCTGTGTGTATATTCAAGAAAGCAAGTTCAGTTGAAAAAGGAAGATTGGATAAAATTTCTTTTGAGGACTTCTTGAATCTTCAATATTCTGCTTATAATGCTCGGGGACAAGATCTTTGGAAAATGGGGCTGTTGGTATTCCAAAGATGATGGACATCACAATTTACTTTTTCCAAGGTTTGTGACAAGACCATTTTTATGGCCATAAAAAGCAGGACCATCAGGGCTGGGACCTCACGTCTGCTTCAAGATGACGAATCTCTTCCATCATCTTGAGCAGAGGTCTCCAAACTTGGCAACTTTAAGACTTGTGGACTTCAACTTCCAGAAGTCTTAAAGTTGCCAAGTTTGGGAGGCCCTGATCTTGAAGAAGAACACGTCAACGCGAGTAACATCTGTTGGATAGTTTCCCCCGTTAGTTTTGCAGGGTAATAACACAGAATCTCCACCGTTGTACATCTTGGCCTCAACATCTAAGAACATGGAAACTCAAGCACAGAAGGCAGAAGAAAGAAGGAACGGCCATCAGAGGGAGGGAAAGGGCTTACAATCCCATCCTAATCGGGACATCCAGTGCCATGAACTTTAGAAGAACATCACTAACTCCTTCGCACTGCAACGCCTGTCCACAGTCACAACTCAAATCTACCGTAGTCTACTAGAGTGTCCAAGGGAAGCTTTTGACCTTCTGTGGGCATCAACTTTGGTTGTCCAACCCGGTGCTACTGTGCCAGTTCTAACTGTGAGAGTTTTCCCAGGAAAATAAGTCATCTGGGAAGTAAAAGAGATGGGGTACAAAGCAACGAACTAACACACACACACACACACACACTTGTGCAGATGCTCGCACCCAGCCCCAGAGTTATGTAATCTGAATTTTTTAAAAACTCTTGGTGCTGCTAAACTTTTTCTCGGTGTAAATGAGGGAGGTATGTGTAGGATTCATTTTCTAACACGGGAAACTTTAGGCAAAGCAAACGGCTCAAGATTGCATCTTCTCAGCATGGATTTATAAGGATGTCACCATTTAGGCCAGGGGTGCTAACCGTGGCCACTTTAAGACTTGTGGACTTCAACTCCCAGAATTCCCCAGCCAGCCATGTTGAAGTCCACAAGTCTTAAAGTGGCCACGGTTGGACATCCCTCATTTAGGCAGATGTCAACATCAGCAGGTGTCTTAATCTCAGCCCAAGAGCCTTCTGTTTTTCACCCCATGGCCACTAGATGGCAAAAGATCCCCAAAGTACATGCAGCGCTCTTCTTTTCCAAGGTGGCTCCCCCCCCCTCCCCAAAAAAAGAGGTCAAATCTACACTTCCCATCCCGCCCACCCTCCATTCTAAGGATGCCTGCATCGGCTGCTGAGGGGTTAGCAGGCTGAAAAACAAGCTCCAATCGGCAAAGTCAGGCTGGAGAACAAAACTGCTGTGCACCAATCGAATTAAAGATTTAAAAAAAGAAAGAAAAGAAAGCACCATCTATCCTCACGGCCCTGAGTTTGCACCCAGGGTAGAGTCCCGTCACCTCAGGAAACCCCTCACCAATTTCCCCACCTCCCTGGTTGTCCATATTCATTGACCTTCCAAAAGTGTCAACGTGAATGAGAATGAATGAATGAATGAACAGGGCAAATGAACGAGCGTACATCCCTCCCTCCATCCACCCATCATCCGTCCATCCCAAAGCCCGTCAAGAAACTTTTACCGATTCCTTTTTATTTATCCGTGTGCATAAAGCCCCTCCCCCACACGACGCGCTTCTCTTCTCTGAAGTTCCCCAGTCGCTCACTGCGCGAAAGCGCATATGCCCACGCAAACACGCCCATGCACGCACGCACGCCCACCCACACACGCACAAAATTAAAAATACTGAAAAATCCTCTTCCTTCCGTGGAGCCAGCAACCGGGCTCATCACAGGGTGATGAGCTCCACCAGGTTGCCCTTGGGAGGGGTCATGTTGTCCGGAAAGAAATTCACCAAGGTGTCGAAGAGTTGAGTTCGTTGGGCGTAGACGTGATCGACGTCCGAAAAGCCTGGAGATGGGAGAAGGAAAAACGACGGGGGAGATGAAAAGATTTGTGGGGCATCAGAAAATATACCGTATTTTTTTTTGGGGGGGGGGGGGAGTATAGCACGCATTTTGTTCCATCTCCGAAAGTGGGTGGAAATGTCTGTGCAGCTTATACAGCGAATGTTGCTGAAGCCCCGCCCACCCTTCAGCCTCGGCCCTCCCAGCCATTTGCTTCCTTGCAGAAAACAGCAAACAGCTTGTATCAGCTTCAGCACAGCCTGATTAGCACAAGCAGCTGATTGTCGGTTGGATTGGCCTCCCGACGATCAGCTGTTTTCAGGCTGCAGGGACTGCCGTCGCTTATTTGCCGCCTCCATGCACTCCATTTTCGGCCTCTCTATACTACACACAGCCCTCCCAAGCTCCATTTTTGTTGGCGGAGGGCTGCAGGAGGCCATCGCAGCTGAAAATGGAGCTCGGGAGGACCAAGCATGGCCCTCCCGAGCTCCATTTTCACTGGCCGAGGCTCCACGGACCGGTCCTTTGCTGTTTACAGGGGTGGCCCCCACGGGCCAGATCTAAACACTTCCATGGGCCGCATCTGGCCCGCCGGCCTTGACTTTGACACCCCTGGTATAGGCTTTTCCTCCTTGAGCCCAGGGGGTTGGACTAGAAGGCCTCCACAGCCCCTTCCAACTCTGGTTATGAGGTTTTGTTGTGTCCAGTAGCAGAAGCGCTACCAGGGAGGAAGGGGAGGGGAATTATTACGATCTGTAAACTTGAAGTTGGGATTTTTAGTTCTGGGAAGTGGAAAGGGTGTTATTCTTGGTTGGCAGCCCAAGGAGATTACCTACAACAGGCTGAACTCACCTCCACTGTAACGGTGCACTCCATCCGCGCAAGCAAAGTTGAAGCTCGTCCCCGCCCCCACTTCCCAAACCTCAGCTGGCCAAGGGCTGCTGGCTCTCAGGATGATGGATGGTCTGTTAATATGTTTTGACCTAACCTTCCGATAACTGTATGGATTCACACCGCGGTGAAACCGAGCCCGTGGACTTTTACTGGCTCTTGACCCAAAACTAGATTCAGAGGCCGCTGCAACGCTGACAAGTCTGAAGTCTACTCACCCAGCGTACTCAGATCAGAGCCCGACTTGAAAAGGGCCGAAGCGAGCAGCTGGAACTAGACAGGGAGAAAACAAAACAACGACACAAGAAGGACAATTTTAACAAGGAAGAGGTCAACATGTCTACAGAGATTCTCAAATCATCCAAGGTCATAGTTGTCCCAAGGGGTTTATTCCAAAAGCAACTGGACTTTTTCTCTTAATTTGAAAATGTTTTGCATCTCGTCCAAGAAGCTTCTTCGGTTTTAACTGACTGGTGGGGAAGGGAAGGATGTTCTGAGCCAGCTCCCCAAACACACCAAACCCTCTGTATTTAACTCAAAGATTCCTTTATTAGGACCGCCAGCAGACCTGGCAAAAAAAAGTTTCTCTCTCACTGCAGGCTAACAAGTCCATCCGGCAGGAAGATGAATAGTTGTCTGCCACGCCTATTCATCTCTTCCCCCTGACTTTTATCCCCAGAGCTCAGGCGGGGCTTCGCTAGCAGCGGTGGCTCTTTCTTCCCAAGGACCAGCCCATAGATTTCCACTGCTCTCCTCTCCTCTGCCTTATCCGTGCATCAGGTTGCATTAAAAAAAGCAGTGTGTGTGTATGTGTGTCTGAGGGAGGGAGGGAGGGAGGAAAGAGAGAGAGAGAGAGAGAGAGAGAGAGAAGGAAGGAAGGAAGGAAGGAAGGAAGGAAGGAAGGAAGGAAGGAAGGAAGGAAGGAAGGAAGGAAGGAAGGATAGGTAGGTAAAAAGGAAGAGTACAGATGATAAGGTTGAGAAAAGAATTTGGAAAGGAATGAAAAGAAATAAATCCCCCCAAATGACAGGAATCCTACTGCTATCCAACCAGATTTTAAACCGTGTGTATGCAACCGTGTGTATGCATGCCCAAACACATGCGTGCACACATACACATCTACCTAGGACTGACCACCTACACCTTTGTCATCCAGGTGTTCTAGAAGCACCAATTCCACCTGGATTTGCACAATTCTTTCCACGTGAACAAGAAAATCAGATACCGTCACCGCTTACCTCCTTGGTTTCTTCAGGATCTGAGTGATCCACTGTGGCAAACAAGTCATTCTGCAAATATTTCAGGGCACTTAGAGGATCCGTCTGGGCTTTCTCTTCAAACCTGTGGAGACACCCAAGGTCAGGAAGTAGCTCCGGGAGAACTTAAAAGACTCAGGAGACTATTTTAAAAAGGCCCTCCTCATCCAAATATAAAAGATACAGGGGCCTGACACTGTTTCTGCTGGGCTGTCCAAGACCAGAACCTCATGTGGACTAGAGCAGCCGTCGCCAAATCGGTGGTCTGCCTGAGGATGTGATTATCAGAATAATAGAATCGGTGGTCTTTCTATCCTTTGCTATTGCAATTTTGCATTCTGGGAATACGATTTCAAATCGACAAAAGTCTTTAGAAGAACAACAAAAATGATTAGAGGGCTGGAGGCTAAAACATACGAAGAACAGTTGCAGGAATTGGGTATGTCTAGTTTAATGAAGAGAAGGACTAGGGCAGCGATCGCTGACCGCTGGGCCGTGGGAAAATTTTGGTGGGCTGCAGAGAAATCTCACCCCCAGAGCAGCCCCCGCAAAGCAATTAATCCAGGCTGCGCAGAAACACAAGGCTGCTCAGCCCACATGGCCCGCGGGAACCCTCCCCGCCCATTCACTCCTTACCTGAAAAACCTGTCTGCTAAGTTGCTATTTTTCCTTTTTCTGACCATCATCTGTTCTGCTGTGCCGGGAGATTTAGATTAGCTAGGAAGCAGGAAATCGTTAGATTTCTTGCTTTCTAGCTAGTCTTTAGATCTTCGGCTCAGCACAGCCGAACCTCCGTTAGGACTGAAGGTTTGTTTGCAAGCAAATTCAGTGCAAACTCACGGCAAGCAAATTTGAGAGACTGAGCTAGCTGATGGCAGATAGATAGATCACTGAATGATTCTGTGAGCAACTCAATCTGCCTGCGTGCTTTGCCTGATTTTGGATAAAAGTTGCTTTTTTATATAAAAAATTCAATATTTACATACATGGTGCGATGTGAGTTAATTCTGTGAGTTTGCTTGCAAGCAAATTTTATGTGACAGACTGAGCTACACAATGGCAGATAGACAGATCTCTAAGTGAATCTGTGAGCAACTCAATCTGCCTACCAGCTTTGCCTGACTTTGGGTAAAAGTTGCTCTTTTTTATAAAAAAAATCCAATGTTTATATAAATATTCATAATATTTACATACAAGCCATGCCCAGCCAGTCACATGACCACCAAGCCACACCCACAAATTAGGCCACACCCATAGAACCAGTTAGTCGTCCTTGGGATCTAAACTTATGAGTTTGGTGGTCCCTGAGGTCCAAAAGGTTGGCGACCCCTGGACTAGAGCTTCATCTTTAAATGGGAGAAGACCAGACCTGACTTAGATGGCATTTGGTTGGTCTCCTAAGTCAGGACTGTCCAACCTTGCCCTGCACTTCAAGTGCCAGAATTCCTCGGCCAGCCACATTGGCATTCAAGGAGAATCGGAATTTGTCCTCTTGCGCCTATTTAATGTTTTGCATACTACCATATTTTTCGGAATATAAGATGCTCTCAAGTATAAGACGCACCTAGCTTTTGGGGAGGAAAACAAAGGAGGGGGAATCTGCCTCTGCCTCCCAGCCATTGGCCTCCTTGCAGCAAACAGCAATATTCAGTTTCAGTATAGCCTGATGAGCACAAGCAGTTGATCGTCGGTTGTATTGGCCTCCCGACGATCAGCTGTTTCAGGCTGCAGGGATTGCCATCGTCTATTGCCACCTCCGCAAGCCTCCATTTCTGCCACCGTGCGTCCCGTTTTCGGCCTCCACATGCCCCATTCTTGGCCCATTCCGGGCAGCGGGGATCAGAACAGGCCGAAAACAGGGTGCGGAGCGGTGAAAAATGGGATATCAAGGCCGAAAATGGGGTGCGCAGAGGCAGAAATAGGAAACGGCAATCCCTGCAGCCCAAAACAGCTGATCGTCGGGAAGCCCATCCAACCAACCATCAGCTGCTTGTGCTCATCAGGCTTTGCTGAATCTGAAACCGGCTGTTAGATGTTTCCTGCAAGGAGGCAGAAGCTGCAGGGTAGGGTCAGGCGGGTGGGCAGGGCTTCGGCCATGTTCGCTGTATAAGACACACAGACATTTCCACCCACTTTCGGAGGTGGAAAAAAGTGCGCCTTATACTCTGAAAAATATGGTAATTCCCCACTTGACTCCTCCCCTGGTCTCACTCCGACAATATCTGACTTCTTTTGATATTAACTGAATATAGCCAGGAGTTCTCTTCAAATAAATCAAACTGGGAAAAAAACAGTCCAATGCTTTTAATGGTTGCCCCATTATCCCAGGAGTGGGAGGGATTCTATTTAAAAATGGAAAGAGCCCCTGTTCCTCTCAACAGCCCACCTCCCCTATTGCCTTTGTTAAAGCTCCTCCGGCAGGTCTGTACCTGTGTTTCCTTATCAAGTACTTGCAATGCCGAAGCAAGTATTCCTTGGACGGTCGGCAGAGTTTCAAGGACCAGAAGTCATCCAGCCTCATCTTTGGAGAACAGGGTTTGCCTGGATTTCCTCCAAACAAATAATGGACCTTGAAGGGAGAAGCGGAGAAGAGATCTGATCATAAATAAACAGCGGTCAAGGAAACCATGGATAGGTTTTCCACGAAGCACGACTGGACTTATTGACCAGGGGTGGGATTCTCCAGTTTTTAACAACTGGTTCGGCGATTGCGCACAGCACTCAAGGAACACAGCTGCGAAGTGGCAATCTGCTGTGCGGCGCTAATCGGCTGAAACGATATAGATAGGTGAAGCACAGGGGCAGCAGGGGCGGGCCCACGATAGTCGCAGCTAACCGGTTCGCTGCCAGCTGATTTTTTTGGAGCAAGGGGTTTGGCCTAACCAGCGCGAACCGGTTGAATACCACCCCTGCTTATGTCTAAATGCTTGGGACTGTTGCTTATGCAGCTCAGGTAAATGCTGCGTGCACAGCTGTTTATGGTGCCGAGCTTTTCCGCTCTCTAAAAAGGCAGAGAAGGAAAGAAAGCCACAGGCCTGCCTCTCCTTACTCTGACGAAAGGGTAAGAATACACCCCCAACATATAAACCTTAAATCGCTGTCCAGGAGGACTGAAGTAACTATATTTGGTCTAGTGGTTAAAGCAGAAGCAGAGACAGGCTGCTCACCGGTTCACACCGGTTCGAGCGAACTGATTTTTAATTTTATGGCCAGTTGGATGAACCGGCAAATCCCACCCCTGGCTGGCCCCACCCATCCTGCCTCTCCCCTCCCCCGAGTCCCCGCATGGCCCATTTTGGATCTCATGTAAGTGCAGGGACCCTGCAAAGGCTCGGGAAGGGCGACAAACAGGCTCCCTGGAAGAGAGCCTCTGGAGCCTGGGGAAGCCGGTTTTACTCTCCTGAGGCTCAAAGAAAGCCTTCGGAGCCCGGGAAGGGCAAAAACAGCCCCCCGTGGCCCATTTTCACTCCCAGGGTGGTACAAGAGGCCGACTAGGCCACGCCCACCATGGCCATGTCCACCCAGCAACCAGGCAGAAAACCGGTTGCTCATTTTTTTGAAGCCCACCCCTGAACAGGAGTTCCCAACCTGTTGGCAATTGCCCGCTACTGGGCCGCAGGCTAATGGCCAGTGGGTGTTGTGGTTCACTGGCAGCAATTAGGAGGACATTCCCGAGAAGCCTGTGCTGGGTGTGAGTGAGAGCAGGAAGATTCATGGAAGAGCAGCATAGGTGACTTCGGAGTAAGAATGCTAATTAATGGCCCTTCCCTCTAGGGAATATAAGCCTGGTTTCAAACGGCTTTTACCTTTGCAAAAGTTTGAAGGAGTTAGTGTGATGATTACAGACTCTGATTTATTGGACTGATTGGCTGCAAGCCATCTGTTATCTACAAAGAGGGCTATTTGTGGAATAAAGCCATGAATGTTTCAGTTTTGGAGTTTATCTGTGTTTGCTTTCAGAAACTTCGGCTGAGTCAGAACACTCGGCTGCGTGAGTGGCCAGACAGTGCGTACGCATCCACATCACCATGGGTGCTCATGGCCCCACTTACGTGAGACTTGTCAGATATCTCAGGTTTGACAGCTTTTGCGCCTTCTGTAGTCTTTCCTTCATCTAGATCAGGGCTCTCCAAACTTGGCAACTTTTAAGACTTGTGGGCTTCAACTCCCTTGTGGTCTTCAATTCCCCATGCTGGCTAAGGAATTCTGGAAGTTGAAATCCACAAGTCTTAAAGTTGCCAAGTTCGGACAGCCTGGCTCCAGATATTAAATGGTCTCAAAGTGAAAACTTGGATTTGGTTCTCCTTCCGGAAGATAACGGTGCCTATGCCAGCAATCCAGAGGGAGGAGAAGACATCTTCAGGGCATGGTTGGAGTTTGACCAGGATGTCCACCCAACCCAAGCCTACATCTATAACCTTATTGTGACAATCAGGAGACCTAGATCTTCCGGTTTGAGCTTCTTCAGTGACAGACCAAAACCTCATCTCTCCGAGGCTTCGATCCGTGCTCGCCGCTGGAGCGCCCCGACTTGGCTGGTTTCGGGGCTAAGCCACCCCGTAGAGGTGGTGAAGAGCGGGGAGACTGCCTGCAGGGTTGAGGAGAGCCGCATCTCTCCTCCCCAGCTGGCCATTACTCCCTTTCCCGAAGGCGGTTGTAGCGGTGGTCAGAAATGGCCACCACAAAGAAGAACTCGACCGGAAAAGAATGTGCAGGAGGAAGATAAGAAGAGAAAGTTTTGGTTGACCGGGTCAAACAGCAAAAACAACAAATAAGGTACCCTAGAATTTAAACTTAACAACATTGTTTCCAAAGAAGATTTTGAAGCTGCGAAGGAGAGAGAGAAGGGAAAGGATTAGGTTTTTTTTCTTCCCTTCCTTATACTGACAGCCAAGAGACTTAAGCAAGAAACTGAAAAAAAAATCCATTTGACATTAATAGGCATTTAAGCTGAAAATAAAAGTCATGGGGATAATAAAGATTTATGGACCTTTAAAAGTTTTTAAAAGCTGGAAAGGAGGAAAAAAAAAGAATAGAAGGGCAGGATCTGGAAAAATGGAGGAGACTGCCTGGAATTAAGGAATGGAACTGTAATTAAAAGGAACTTACAGTGAAATTTTAACAAGATTCCTCAAAGATACATTTTAATGGAAACTTGGTAACAAAATAATAGAACCCCAGGAAGAGAAAGTGGAAAAAAGAAGCAAGTAGAAACAGCCTTGGTTATTTGAATTACTTGGTGATTTTTGGTTTTTGCATCTAGATGACTAAAATTAACTGGGTGGTTGTTTAAAAGTTTTTAAAATGGTATCACTCTTAGAAGAACTGAAAATGGAACTTAAAAAATGGAAAGAAGATGCACAAGAAGGGAGAAGTTCTTTTGGCTTCGTGTTTCAATTCTTAGAAATGGAGATCTGGAACTATGAGAAGCAACAAGAAATGTTTGCAGAACAAGAAGATTGGGACAGAAAGAAGAAGCCATCTTTAATGATCAAATAAATTTAAGTGGGGGAGGGGAAAGAAAAGGGGGGAAAGAGAGTGAAAGGTTTAAGATTAGAAAAAACAACCAAAAAGAAGAACAATTTGAAAGATAAGTGTAATATCAGAAAGCAACAGAAGAGGGGATTACAGATGAGAGAGTTAGAAGTAGAGGGACGAGGGGGTAAAAAAGGGGAGGGAGAAGAAGAAGGGGAAAAAGACAAGGAAAAGAAGTTGTAAAAGACAGAAACAAGAAATGGAGAAACAGGGAAAAGATATAAGGATTGTAACCATAAGTTTGTTTAGAGATAATGGGTGAAAATTTAATTGTAAAAGGGATTCCGCAAAGGTACGTAAGATAGCTTTGTTATATTACAAATAGAAATAACTTTAGAAAATATGATGATGGATAAAATATTTATTGTAATGCAGTGGGATGTTTGTTAATAAATAAATGAATTAAAATGTTTGAGAGAATTAAAAGGGAACATTTTTAATTATTAGTAATGATTTATAAAAATATAAGTGAGAAATATGGAAAAAAAAATTAACTATGGAAAGTTTATAAGTGTTCCCAAGGAAGTATGATATTTAATTGAAAAGAAATGTTAAAGATATTAAGATTTAATATAGTGTCTATTTCGAATTCTGTACCAAGCAGAATTCGATTGGAAGTTATATATTATATTGAATGCTATAATCTTAAAGCTATACATTGAAGCTTAAATAAGAGCTTGAATGGATAAAATTAAAGGATATAAAGGGGTCATACTCTAACTGGTAACTACAGGGAAAAATTTGCTTAATAAGAAAAAATAATGTGAAATTGTAACAGGACAGACAAAAGTATAAATATAATGATTTCAATTGAGATAATTAAAACAAAGTTGAGAAAACTAAAAGAGGGGGAAAACTATGTAGAAAATATAAAATGGTAATAAGATACGGAATAGAATATAAAAATGAGCATGAAATTGAGTTTTGTGTCTGTATGAAGAAGTGATAACCTGGGACCATGCTATTTTCAAAAAAGATGTTTTATTTGTATTTTGTTTTTGTGAAAACCCAAATAAAATTTTCCAAAAAAAAAAAAAAGGAGACCTAGAGTGCATCTCCATTGAACTAGGGTGCTGGAAGAAGACTCCTGCGAGTCCCTTGGACTGCAAAAGCAATCAAATCGGTCAGTCCTAGAGGAGATCAACCCTGACTGCTCTTTGGAAGGCCAGATCCTGAAGATGAAACTCCAAGACTTTGGCCACCTAATGAGAAAGAAGGATTCACTGGAGAAGAGCCTAATGCTGGGAACGGTTGAGGACAAAAGGAGAAAGGGACGGCAGAGAAAGCGGTGGCTGGATGGAGTCACTGAAGCAGTCGGCGTGAGCTTAAATCGACTCCGGGGAATGGTAGAGAACAGGAAGGCCGGGAGGAATGTTGTCCAAGGGATCGCGATGGGCCGGACACAACTTTGCAACTAATGACGACAACAACAAAGAAGCATGCATCTCATGGGGGTCTCCAAGTCTTAGATGATAACCATGACACACTACCATATTCTCAAGCTAAAGCTTACTGTCAACTCATAAAACATTTCTATGCCTGTTTTAGTAGTTGCCATAAAAAGGGGGCGGGGTAGGAAGGAAATCTGGAAGAGCAGTGCAGTGTTTGAAAGCAAAAGTACATTCCAACTCCTTATCTTTAAAAGATTGTAACTAAAATACCGGAGCTTCTGCCTGGGAAAATCCTTAATTGGAGAATGTGATTGATGACACCCAGCTGCTGAACATGCTCAATTGGAGAATCTGGTTGATGACATACCCGGGGTGGGGGGGAAACAGGGTCACAGGTGATTGTAAATGACATAGGCCAGAGTTGGCTTCGTACAGGGCAGTGCCAGTATGTCGCCTCTAATAAATCCTTTGAGGTTTTTTTGAAGTTTGGCTCGAGAGTCATGAATTAATTAGGGCGATTGCTGGAATCCGGACACTTACCTTATGCAATTCATCATACACAAGCTGGTGTGCAAAACGGGGGCAGGGTTCTTCTTCCTGAAGGCTCTTGTTCAAGTTCTCTTTGGCTGCTTGATCGTTCTTGTAGACGCAGGACCTGAAATACAGGGTGTTGGCCACCCAGAGGTTATCTGGCGGGTCTCACTTATCTCCTGGTTAAGCTGTAATTCTACCACAGGGCATAGTTCTGATTGCTAACCCATTGATGACAATGATGCTACCCATTCAATCCTCAGGGTCAGGATTGGGTCAGGTCTCTGCGTGTCTTCAGACCTGGCAGTTAAAACCTAAGCACAGGCAGTTGTTGTAAGTTGAAACTGAAGTTACAACGGCACAGAAAGGGTTTGTGACCAGCGGTTTTCACACTTAAGGCTGTTGCACCATCCATGTAGTCATGTAGTTCAAAATTCAATATAAACTTGGCCACTGGGTCATACTTATGACCAAGGCTGGGATTCAAATCGGTTCTATGGGTGTAGCTTGGTGGGCGTGGCAGGGAAAGGATACTGCAAAATCCCCATTCCCTCCCCTACCCCACTAACCTGCTTTCCAGCTCCGTTCTCCTGTGCGGGGCAACCAAAGGAGACCCAGCCAATCCGCTGGGACTCAATGGGAGGCAGAGAAGAGAGATGGGGTTGGCGGGGCCAGTCAGAGGTGGGATTGGCCGGTTCTCCGAACTACTCAAAATTTCCGCTACCAGTTCCCCAGAACCGGTCAGAACCTGTTGAAGACCCACCTCTGCTTATGACGCTTGTAGTATCCCGGGGTCACGGGGGTCACCTTTTGCAACCCGCTGACCATCAAGGTCAATGGAGACACCAGGGTCGCTTAACAGAAATGTCACTAACCTAACAAACTGCAATGATTCCCTTAACAATCGTGGCCAGAAAGGACGTGAAATGGGGGGGAAAAAACTCACTTAACGAACGTTTCACTCAGCAATGTAAATTTTGGGCTCAATAGTGTGGTTTTAAGTCAAGGACTACCTATATCATGCTTTAGTGAATGGAAAATGAAAAACGGGGAGTTTGAAAGGTTCTTGTTTTCAAGTTCTACCTTGCAAAGTCGGACTGATTCATCTACCGGCACTTCCAGTTAGGAAATGCATGGAAGCTCCTGACTCCCGCGAGAGGTTCTGGCTTTTTCGGTGCAAACCTGCAAACTCCAAGCATGGTCAATCTGCCCTCTTGTCTATTAATTGAGATCTTCTTTTAACGACCCCATAATCCTGTGATGGCGAACTTAGGGCACGCATGCCGGAAGTTGCACACAGAGCCATCTCTGCCGGGACGCGAGCCGACGGCCCAGCTCAGTTCCACTGCATATGTGCAGGGGCCTCCCGCCAGCCAGCTGATTTTCAGGTATCTGCTGAGCATGCACAGGGGGCAGGGCGCATGTGGGAGATGTGTGCACATGTGCAGGGGGTGGGGAGAGCACGGGGGGATGGCACATGCATTGTATTATGGGTGCAGGCATGTGTGCGCACGTATGCAACGACAAAAAGCTTAGCCATCCCTGCCCTAATCCCTTGCGGGACGGAGTCTGAGCAACTGAATGGAGCTGAGTGTTTACTGGCCAGATGCCTTTCCTGTCACCAATGCGGTGTGTTTCTTTTCCAGCAGAAATATTCTCAGTGTGCCCAGAGAGTGAAATATCTGCCTCTACCTAGGATCAAACTCACAGCCTCCTGATTGTAAGGTGAGAGCGCCACCTCTAGGCCGCCGCACCTGTGATGACCCAGGGTGGGATACAAAAGCGACGAAGTCAACAAAAATGGGGGAAGTCCCTTTAATTCCTTCAACTTGGCTTCAAAGCTCCAATTATCATTGACTGGAGAAAAAAACACCCCCACAAACAGTTGCGTTAAAATACATATAAATTATAAATAGAAAAGAAACAGCACAAACCAGATTGAAGCTATTAATGACATAAGGCAGGATAAGGGCTTGAAGATACAGATATCCACAGATATCGAAAAAAAAAACACTGGGAAGGACGCCAGTACTCAGATAAGAACTGAAAGGCTAGAATTATTTCTCGCTTTGCTTCCAGCACTGGGCCATGTGCAGTTTGTCCTTTTAAACAGTCCTCCCAGCTGCAGCCCATGAAGGGGATCAAGGCCCTTTCCTCCCCCATAGACCATGCCGTTCACGTTTCTCCCTTATCCGCTCCTCCCTGCATGCCCTAGGATGAAGAGGGGATGGGCCTAGGTCTTCCTCTGAATGTCCAGCCAGCCTGTGCCCTCCCCCAGTTTCTTCCACAACCTCCGGAGCCACATTCCCACTCCTCCTTTCACTTGGAGTCAGATTCTAACAGAGACATGACAGCACCTCTCTTGTCTATTAATCAAGATGATCTCTGCAAAAAGCAAAAAGAGACTTAAAGAGAAGGGGGGGAAGCGATCCCCCGCTTACCAGCTGTTTCGGACGATGTCGTAAATCCAGAAGGAATTCCGAACGTTCTCTTCCCGTTTTTCCTTGTCTTTACTCAGTCCGGACAGCACATGGATTTCGTTCAGTTCCGGATCAATGGTAGCTCTTTGGGTGAAGCCGGTCATTGGAACTACGGATTAAGGAGAGCAAAGGATGGTTACATTTCTCCCAAAAATAAAATGGGCCACTAGATGGCGGATCTATCACAGAATCCGGAGGTGCTGAGTCAAGCTTGTCTTCTTGCAGCTTCATGGATGTTAGCTCCCACATGGTCATGACAAGCAAATCGGTGGAAAGGTGGATATTAATGCTGGTTTAAATCCTGTCCACTGGATACCCTCACTCTGGAAATGAAACGAAAGGACAGGGGCACAGCTGTTTAAAAAGCTGGCTCCAGGGAGGAGGGATCACAGTGCAGGTCTAAAGGGATCCATAGTGATAGAGGCTGACTTTAAGACACCACCGTAGCAGGATGTGAATACGTTTCACAGAAAAAGTTAACGTCGGATAGGCACAAATGTGCATTTTGTAATTGTTGTTGTTTTGCATAGAGGCCGTTGACAATCAGAGATGTCCAATTTGAGCCACAGAGATTTGTACCTTCTCAACCCGGCCACATTTCAACCTATCCTAGATCTACTATCCCTGGAATGAGAAGATGGAAACTGAAGTGATCCACAGTACCGTTCCCTGGAGGTCATGTGGAGCATCAAAAGTTCCCCTAGATAGGCCACAGCTCCATAATCGAACAATGAATCTCTCTCCTTTTTCTCCCTCCCTCTCTCCCTTACTCTCTTCCCTCCCTTACTTTCTCTTCCTGTCTCTCTCCACGCACTCTCCTTCTCCTTTCTCCCTCCCCTTCTCTCCCTCCCCCTCTCCTTCCCCCTCCCTCACTTCTCCTCTCCGTCTCTCTCCCTTTCCTGTCTTTCCCGCTCCCTTCTCTCCCTTCCTTTCTCCCTTCCTGTCTCTCTTTTTCCCTCCCCACGTTCTC